GGGGGGGTGTCGGACGGGCGAGCAGGTGGAGGGCCTGCAGGTGAGCGGCCCCGTGCCGCTCGACGGATTATACTCCCCACGCCGCCCCGCTCACCCCTCTCATCTATCACAGCGCTGTACCATGCAGCCCTCGGGACACACACTCCTCCTCTCCGCTCACCATATCTTCACGCAGCTGTCCATGCCGGCCGAGACCAAGGTCCATTCCTTGCCCACCACCCTCCAGTCCAGGCTCAGGATCTCGTTGACGTGGCTCCCGTCACCCTGGCAGATGAGCACCGGGCGGCCGACGTGCAGGTTCCAGACCCGAATGGTGTGGTCCTTGCTGGCAGTGGCCACGATGTGGGGGTGGAAAGGGTGCACGGCGATGTCGTTGATGGCGGAGCCGTGGCCGCACAGGGACTGGGTAGGTGCGTGTCGGGGAGTGGGGGTGGGTAGGTGGATGTCGGGGTGCTGGGGGCGCAGCACCCAAGTTCGAGCGTGCTTCCCCTTCGGCGATTGCCCGAGAACGCATGGCCTCCCTGCACATACGGCGTGGGCATCGCGGCAGCCAGCCACCTGGAGTGTCTCGTCCAGCAGGAGATGCAAAGCATAGGACAGGGCACCCTCAGCGTGTGGGCAGTGCGGTTCGCACATGGGCGGCTGATTTTCTGCGCCCAAAGGAGCTCACCGCTTCGAGCTGGCCCGACATGCAGTTGACGACGTTCAGGACGCCGTGCTTTCCAGCCACGAGCAGCCAGGGCTCCTTTGTGGCCGGGTGCTGCGACCACTCGCAGACATAATACTCCTCGTCCTCCTGCGGGGCAGGTGCTGAGCATCAGAGAGGGGCGGCCGGCTGCAGCAAGGGGGCAGACGCCCTGCGTGCACCGGAGCATCAAAGTCCATGGGGGAACCCCTGCAACACAGTCCCGGCTCACATGCTGGTCCTTGAAGGCTTGCAGGATGTGCACGATGTTTCCTGGCCCGCACCTGTACACGGTGGCCTGCGGGGTCAGAGGGGTTACGGCCAGATTGGGGACATGATGGCAGAGGTTTCAGGGGGGTACCATGACAAGAAGCCCCCAGATCATCATGCGGACGGCCAGGGCCCGCTCCCCGCACCCACCCGTGCAGCTCCCACGGTTGCGAAGACGTTGGACAGGTGAGGGTCCAAGTGATTGAACCTCACGCAAAAAAGGGAATGGGTCTGCTGCTCCTGATACCTGCGGGCGTGCGCCATGGCAGAAGGAGCGCGAGTCATCGAGCACGCTGCACACAGGGAGCACAGGGGGGCAGTCAACAGTCCTAGAATGCAGGGTGTTTCATTGCCACTGACATGAGCATCCTGTGCACGAACTATTCTATCACACCAGAACTCAAAAACATCATGGAGCAACCCAGAGGACAAGCAAGGCCTCACCAGGCGAGATTCTTGTACTCCCAGGTGTCGTCCTGCGACTCGACTTCCTCCATGGCCGAACATGTATTAAACTCTACATCGTCAGAGAGACATGGACCAGCCCTGAAGGAGATGGGAGCGCCCCCGGGGGAGCACGATGGCGGGGAAGCACTCGTCAAAGCACGTCTTCAGCAAACAGAAAGCAATTTGAGACCTCGAAATATACTGCAAGGATGCTTTTGGGGGATGCAATGAGCAATTCTGCTGGTGTTGGTGTCGCAAGGGCCCCTCAGCGTGCCATGTGATTTGCCCAGGTTGAAGGGAGAGATCTTGTCCGCACACATGCGCACCGGATGACCCCCTTTCACAAGCAAGTGCACGGACGCAGACGACGGCTAAGACACAATCACATATCATTGTACAAACAAGCATTAATTTGGCCGACAAGGATATGCGGCGGACTCGCGCAGCACTGAATCTGTTGTGTCGGAGAGCGGCCTAGCCTGGGTGCGAGTCCTGGCCCTCACCAGCGACTATGCTCGCGGCACACAGCGTTGTATACGGAAGTTCAAGGTCTTTCATTTCAACATGCGGGACTGGATCCGCACGGCTCCCCGGGTCACGACCTTCCATGGGGTGAGGTTTGGGTGGTTGGCCCCCCCTCCGACATGCTCTGGGGCCGCCAATCCCTTCGATAGGAGTGCCGAAGCGGCTCCCCACGTGGACCCACAGGCATAATGCATGGAGTAGGCTGCACAGAAGACGGGCATGGAGTCGCATCCGGCCCGCAAGCGTGGGTGGCACCGGCCCCCTCGGGTCCCCCTGCCCCCCTGCCAGGTCCAGCGACCCGCCCCGGGCGGCCAGCCTCCTACAAACCCAGCCAGGGCTGGAACCCAGCATCCAGGAGCAGGAGCCGGCCTCCTCCCTCCTCGACCTGCACCTCACGGCAGACAGGGACGTGGCCACAGTGGAGGGCGGCGTCGTGCTCGCCAGCGCCCTCACCGGCCAGGCCCGCGTGACGGGGACTCGACGCGGCATGCTCATCCTGGGCATGGAGACGGCAGACGGCGCCGCCACCGCCATCGAGGACTTCCCACTCGCCAAGGTGGCTGCGGGACGAGGGAGTGGTGTGTTCTGAGGTCCGCAACAGCGCCGGTTCCCGGGCCGGGCCCACTGCATGTCGTGTGGCATCCTCTCACTCCTTCTTTGAGGGCACCACTCCCCGCTCATCAGCCCCCTCCACTTCACACACACAAACAAAATCCAGCTGTGCTGCTCGCGCTTTGTCGCTGGCGCCAGGATGAAGCTCTGGTGGCAGATGCCGCGGTGGGGTTCCACCTCCCATGACATCACGCCCGAGACTCAGGTGCGCAGGCTGCGGCTTTCTTGACTCACTGCGTCGTGCTGGAGTCCCTTACCACGTTGCCATGTAGTGATGTGCCACATGCTCCTGCACGACAAATGTTCTCTGCTGATTTCCTGCTGGCCATTGACAGACCTCTCACAACATCATGTTTGTCTCCACCCTTCATTTGCCCAGTTTCTGTTGTTGGAGCTGGAAGACGGGGTCTACGGCGTGGTGCTTCCTCTCATAGACCGCCGGACCTTCCGAGGCACGCTGCGGTATCCCAGGTGATGACAAGAGTGGGGGGGGGGTGGGGGGGTTCTCTTGGCAGCAGAGGGGATTGCGTCAGAGATGATCTTATTTTTACAGAACTTGGTTTCTGCATGAAGTGGGAGTGGGTGCAGGGGAAAGATGTGGCTGCAGCGCAGGGTGTGCGGGCGCTCCATCGAACCTCGACGGCAGTCGGATGCCAGCTCCGCCACGCCTCTTGTGCCTCGCGACGGGCCGACGGCGCACGGCTCGCCATCATGCCGCGGCGGCGCCTCGCTTCAGCAAGATGCCTTCCGATGGTCGCCACAGCGCGATGCGGCGGGCACCCTCGAGGACCGAGACCCAGCCCCTCCGCGTCTGGCTGTGCCCTGTGTCCCAGGCGCTCTGCTGTACATCGCTGGCCCTCCCCCCCTCCTTCGCCCTAGCTCTGGGTCTGGCGCTGGAAGTTCTCCAGGGTCAGGTTGGCAGTGAAGGCTGGGATGGACCTGAAGCGGTCCACGAAGGTCGCCGCCTCCTGCGCCAGGCGGCCCGTGGTGAGGGCCGTGGGCACCAGCGCCAGGACCCCGGATCGCAGCAGGTCGAACACGAGCTCCGCGCCCTCGTCCTCGTGCTGTGGGCGCAGCACGAAGCGCGCCCTGATCTCCCTGCGGCGCGGGTGAGTGAGGGGGGGAGCTGCTGAGTGTGTGTCGAGCAGGGGTGGTTACGTCACCTCCTCCAGGGACCAGGGCAGGCCTGGGTGCCTGGCATGCTCATGGTGAGACCTATGCTCCGTGCATTACTTCAGCGATCCACAGTTCACAGCCCGAAAAACAATGCTTCCCCCCTCTCATCAACCCCAGACAACACATCCCAGCCCCACCTGGCCGAGGGGTCGGTCATCATCTCCACACGATATCCGAAGAGGAGGTACACCGCCTCTCGGAACTGGGTGATCTGGCGGCGGAACACCTGCTGCAGGCGGTCGTTAGCCTTCTGCAGCTCGTTGGCACGGCGGCGCAGCAGCGACACCTCCCCTTCCAGCTGCGCGAGGCGCAGCGCGGCGCCTGGCCGCTGCGGCGAGGCGGCGGCGGCGTGGCTGGGCGAGGCAGCGGCGCCGGGCGCAGCGGGGCGCCTTCCCCGGCCCTCGCCCTGAGGGTCCTCCCCATCACCGCCGCCGGCCCCGCACGCGACGGCCTCCAGGCGGGCCAGGCTCTGCGCCAGCGCGGCATTCTCGCTCTCCAGCCGCTCCACGCGCGCGTCGCGCGCCTCGCGCGCCAGCTCCGCCTCGGGGTTCAGCCGCAGGTGCAGCACGCGCGTGGTGGCGGGGTCGAAGTCGCCACGCGCGACGCGGGCCTGCAGCGCCTCCGCGCGCGCGGCCAGCGCCTCGCCCTCGGCGCGCAACCGCTCCGCCAGCGCCTCGGCCGCGTCGGCGCGCGCCTGCGCCTCGGCCAGCTGCCGCGCTGAGGCCGCATGGCTTACGTCATCCTTTCCACCCACGTCACCACCGCCACCAGCCCCGCGCCGCTCCAGCTCCGCCTCCAGGTCGGCGACGTGGGCGTGCAGGCCCTCCACGGTGGCCTCCAGCTCCGCCAGGCGCGCCTGCTGCGGGGCGATCCCCGCCTCGCCGCGCGCACCCCCCAGGTACTCCTCGTCGTAGGAGGACAGCACGGCCTGCAGGCCCGAGCGCTCGCGCAGGAGGAGCGCGACGCGGCGCTCGGCGCGCGCAGCGTCTCGCCGCCGCTCCTCCAGTGCGGCTGTGAGGCGCGCCGCCTCGGCCTCAGAGAGCGCAGCGCGGTCCTCGGCGCGCCCCGCCGCGGCGCGCGCGGCCTCGGCCTCGGCGGCGGCCGCCGCGACGCGCTCCGCGCCGCGCAGGGCCTCGTCCTGCTGGCGCCGCACCAGGGCAATGACAGCCTCGGGCCCCGCGCTGGACCCGACCTCGGTCAGCTCCGACTCCCAGCGCCGCAGCGTGCGCAGCGCGGCCACACCCTCCACCGCCGCCTCATCAGCCGACGCGAGCAGCGCCTCCAGCCGCTCACAACGCTCCTCTGCCGCTGTCAGACGCTCGCGCGCGAAGACGGCCTCCCTGGAGGTGGGGGACAGGGTTGGGGAGTGGGGATGGAGATGGAGGTGGCATGGGGCATTGGACTGACTGAGAGCGACAGAGTGGGCTGTTGATGCATCGCTAATATTCAGAGGCTGTACTGATTGTTACCAACTCGACGCAGCTTGGGATTGGCGAGCCCAGTCCCCTTCTCCCCTTTCCTCACCACCCAGGCCCACCTGGCCGACTCCCGCAGGGCGGGCACCTGGACGGCCAGCTGCTCGGCGGCCGCCACGCGCTCGCGCAGCGTGCTGATCAGCACCGCATCTGCCTTGCGTGCGGCATCTGAGTCCTTTGGCGCCGCTTCGCGCCGCGCCGCCTCGGCCTCGGCGCGCTCAGCCCGCAGCGCCGCCTCCCGCCGCCCCTCCCCGGCGGCCGCCAGCTCGGCGCGCGCGCCCTCAAGCTGCTCCTGCAGCAGGCGCGAGGCCCGCGCCTCGCCCGCCAGGCGTAGCTCCAGCTCTTCATTACGGGCGTCGGCAGCGCGCGCAGCGCGCTCCTGCGCGGCCCGCAGCTCCCGTGCCGCCGCGCGCGCGTCCTCGGCCTCGGCCGCCGCGGCGGCCAGCTCGGCGCGCAGCCGGCCCAGCTCCTCCTGCGCGGCGTCGTCGGCGGGGCGGCAGGCCCCGGGCGCCGTCTTACCCTCCAGCGATGCCTTGGCGGCCGCCAGCTCAGCGGCCGAGCGCGCCCCAACACGCGCTTCGGTCTCCAGCCGCTTCTCCAGCAGGGCGATGCGCTGGGAGTTCTCCTCCTCCCGCGCCGCGCCCATCACCCTGGCGCGCTGGACCTCGGCCTGTGGGCAAGCGGGGAGCCTGGCTCAGAAATTGATCGGATCAGGCCCAACATCCATGGCCTAGAAATTCTACTCCACCACACTATCACTCAACACCTGGAGCGACAACAGACCTGCAGCCTCCCGATCTCCAGCCTGGCATCCTCCATGGCCGCGGCGTGCTCCCTCTGGGCCCGCTGCAGCGACTGGAGCTCGGCATCGCGCCCCGACTTGGCAGCCGCACGGTCCGCCAGCAGGTCGAACAGGTCCCGACTCGGCGTGCCAGCCTCGGCGATATTTTGCTCAAAATCCGGACGCCTGCCCAGTGGAGTGATCAGCCCTAGCTCCTCGGCCCTCTGGCGCTTGCTGGGCTTGTGCCAGCTCATGGCTGCAAGGGGCCCACGCCAGCCCCAGATCACGACATCATGTCGAGCGGCTCAGCATCGTCGCCGTTCCAAATGAAACACTGGCCATTGGCATCGTCCATCTGTCGTCGTCTTCGTGGGCTTCCCGTACTTCATTCATGTCGCGCGCGACACCACCCGATCAGCCACGGCAGCACGCATCGGTTCAAGATCTCGTCATCACCCCGCCCCCCCCACACACACAAGTTGCCTGCACCCCTCTTTACCCAAGGACCCCCTTCCACTCCCCTTCTTTCCAGGCCTGACTGCCGCCCGGGCCATGAAGACCACATGGTGCTGAGGATTGAGAGCGGCGACAGCGATGTGTGCAGCGAGTGCTGGGACAAGGCCGTGCTGTTTGCCGCGGGCACGGACCCCTATGTGCTCATGGAGGAGGCGGTGATCGTAGCCGCGGAGTGCAGCGGGACCGCCAAGCCTCTGCGCGCCAAGACCCTGCCCCCAACCCTCGACTCATTTGGCTGGTGCAGCTGGGACTCGTTCTACTCCACGGTCTCCGCGCAGGGTGGGGAACCTGGTGGTGGCAGGGAGCGCATCCAGTGTATGTGTGTTATAGACTGCTGGCTCAGCAGCAGCACCAGTCCGTGTATGTGCTCCCAAAGACTTCCAGCTTTCAAGCAACCATTCCCTTGCCCTATTCCCTCGCAGGCCTCGACGATGCTGTCCGAGGCCTGCGGGCTCAGGGCACGCCACCACGCTGGGTGGTCATTGATGACGGCTGGCAGTGCACACAGGTGGACGCCGCCTACCGCGACGACCCGCTCAAGGCCTTCCGACGAGGCAACGGGGAAGAGGTGTGTTACGAGTGAGGGTTAGGTTTGGAAGGAGGTGGGACGTGAGTACCTTTGTTTCTGGAGGGACACATGCGTGGCTGTGGGCTTAGTATAGGGAGGAGTATGGTCTCCATTGGCGACAAGGCTCTATCCCAGAGTTTGCAATGGAGGTTTTAAGTCGATGGCCACTCAACAGAAGCTCTGTGCAGACCCTTGGCAAGGTTGATCAATGGTGACATTCCCCCAACCACATACAACACACCCACACCCACAACCAACCCCCCTTCATCACACAGTCCTCCACCAACTCGCGCGAGTCCTTCGTGGAGGGCGAGTTCGAGGCGCTGGAGCTGGCGGCGCGCGGCATCCCGGCGGCCGGGTCGGCGGGGGCCATGCTGCGCGAGGTGCGCAGCAGCCTGGACCCCGAGGGCGCGCCCCCCATCGACGCGGAGATGATGGCGCTGCAGAAGACGGGGGGGCTGGCGACGGGGGAGGAGGGGCGGCGAGGCAGGCACCTCTGGCGCCGACCCTTTGTCATCAGGTGCTGCTGTTTGAAGGCGATTGAGGTCTTTTCTGATGACTGAGATGGATGGCGTGCCTGCACTGGTGTCTCATCTCCCCAGCTCCAGTGGCTGAGCTGTCCTGGCGACACACGCATCGTCCTCCCTGGTCCCCGTCCGCAGCCTGACACTGGACCTGCTGGGTTACGTCGGCGGCCGCATCACCGGCTTCTTCTCCTTCCTGCTCATCATGTTTTACCAGAATGTGGTCGACCCCGCCCCCACCGGCAGCTGGTGTGTGTGTGGGGGGTGAGGGAGGGGGCTGCGTTGCGGGGGCTGTGATAGTGCCCTGGGCTATCGAGGTTGGGGGGGCATTTGCGCATGCAGGTGCATGCTCTCCTTCCCTTCACCGCATAACGTGAGAGAGGGGCGGGTCCCTCCCCATCGTGGCCGTAGCCCGACCTTGCCTCTTCACTCTGGCCCTGCAAGTCATGTTCCAAAAGGAATGTCCCCGCTCAAGAGCAGGCCTCGTGTGCCAGGGCCTCCCAGCCCAACTCTACCCCACATCCCCTTTCACCCTCTTCATCACAATAATGAGCTCCAACCCCCCTTTTCCCCCCCAAACCAAGGCCGGCGCGGCTGTGGACGTGGGCTGCGCTGCGCTCGCTGCGCGAGCCCCTGGTCCAGTTCATGGCGGACAGCACCAACTTCACGCGCCGCCTGACCAGCGTGCGCGCCAACTCCAAGTTCTCCTCCCCCCGCGCGCGGCCCGAGGACGTGTCCTCTGGCGCGCCCGCCGACCTGGCCTCGGTGGTGTCCCACCTGCGCAGCGTGCACGGCGTGGCCTGGGTGGTCTGCTGGCACGCGCTGTCGGCCTACTGGTCGGGCGTGAGCTGGGAGTCCCCGGGCATGGCGCGCTACGCGCCGCGCCTGGTCTACGGCGCCCCCACCCCCGGCGTGGCCGAGGTGGAGCCCTCGGCCGCCTGGAACCCGGCCGTGCTGGGCGGCGTGGGCTGGGTGGGGGACATGGGCGCGCTGTTCGAGGACATGCACGCCTACCTGGCGGCGGCGGGGGTGGCCGGAGTCAAGGTCGACGCCCAGGCCGGCGTCGGCTTCGTGGGGCACGCCAGCGGCGGCGGCGCGGCGGCCGCCGCCAGGGCGCACGCCGCGCTGGAGGCCAGCATCGCCGTGCACTTCCCCGCCAACCTGGCGGTGAACTGCATGTGCCACAGCACGGAGAACATCTACGCCTGGGAGGGCACCGCGCTGGCCCGCGTGTCCGACGACTTCTACCCGACCGACGCCTCCACGCACCGCCCCCACGTCGCGGCCTGCGCCTTCAACTCCCTCTTCTTCTCGGGCGTCGCTCACCCAGACTGGGACATGTTCCAGTCCGAGCACCGCGCCGCCGCGCTCCATGCCGCCGCGCGGTGGGTGGGGAGAGCATGAAAGGGTTTGTGTGTGGGGGGGGGGGGGCCCCTTCGTGGGGGTGAATGACTGTCGGCCCAGCACGCACATCTGGCGCCCCCCTGATTCCCTCATCGGGCGTCGTTGGACACAATCTGGGGGGCCGCAGTCCTCCACTTCTCTGCCCTTGACCCTGGACCCCACTCCCGACCCCTCATTCGACCGCCCAACCCCTCAAAGCCACCCGCAAACCCACGCCGCAGCGCCGTGAGCGGCGGTCCGGTGTACGTGTCAGACAGCCCCGGGCGCCACTGCGTCCCGCTGCTCAAGCGCCTGGTGCTGCCCGACGGCGGCGTGCTGCGCGCGCTGCGCCCCGGCCGCCCCACGCGCGACTCGCTGTTCCTGGACGTCTGCTGCGACGCCCGCTCCTGCCTCAAGGTCTGGAACCTGAACCCGCGCGGCGGCGTGCTGGCGGCCTTCAACCTCCAGGGCTCGGCCTGGGACTGGGGGCGGCGGCGGTACCGCACGCACGAGGCCGCGCCGCCGCCGCTGCCCGCGCGTGCCGCGGTATGGGACGTGGAGCCGTACCGCGGCGCGCCCAGCGGCGACCGCTTTGCCATGCACGTGGATGGGGCCGAGGGCGTGCTGGTTGTGGACGCCGCCGGCGGCGTGGACCTGCAGGTCCCCAGTGAGTCGGTGGATCTGTTTGTTGGTTCGGTTTTTGAAGCAGGGGGGCAGAGGGGAAGTGATGGTGCGAGGGCCGAGGGCGCCGGGGTTGGGCAGCAAAAGGGGGCCGGCAATGGCCACCACCAGGGCGCGCTTGAGAGCGTCACGCCCTGCTGCACCGTGCTTTCTTTCCCCTCGACTCTTTTCCACCACCTCTCTCGCTGCACACATTTGAGTCCCCATCTGCCTTCCCATCCCCTCCTTCACCGACAGGCGGCGGCGCCGTGATGGTGACCGTGGCGCCGGTGGTGACCTCGCCCGACGGCCAGGTCAGCGCGGCCCCGCTGGGGCTGGCCAACATGCTGAACTGTGGGGGCGCGGTGCGCGACTTCCACTGGCAGACGTCCCCGGAGAACGGGCGCCCCGCCGCGCCGCAGCTCAGCGTGGAGGTGCGCGGCTGCGGGACGCTGCTGGCGTACTGCAGCCGGGAGCCGGGCAGGGCCTATGCGCAGGGCGTGCAGACCAACTGGTGGTGGAAGGAGGGGCGGCTGGAGGTGAGCGTGCCGCAGGGCGACGGGGCGAGCACCCAGACGGTGGTCATCGCTTTCTAGTTGAGTGGCTGGCGCGGGCCACCTTCCCAACAGCTGCCGACAGCTGGGCCACTCCCGGAGCGGCGCCGTGACGGAGCATACCCGCGCGCCCAGGCAGAAGGGGTTGGAAATCTGGCATGCCCAGGGCCCCCATGCTGCCTGCACCAAGGTATCACATCCATAGCAAGTAATACTGACTAGACCGGGCGATCGCAGACTGGGCAAAGGAGGACGTATCTGTCCCAGATCACTTGAGCATGAGCTTCCTGTGGGGTCGGCCCAAGGCCGCAGCCCAGCCTGCCACCCCTTCCGGGACTGAGCCACAAGCTACCAAGCAGAGCGGCAAGGCACAGAGCCTGGAACTCGTCAAGTACCATGCGCAGACCGGCAAATTCGAGGTCGGGACAGAGGCCCTCCGGATCCTGCGCGCCACCGCGGGGCCCGTGGGCGTCGTATCCGTGTGCGGGAGGGCGCGTCAGGGCAAGAGCTACATCCTGAACCAGCTGCTGGGGCGGGCGGGCGGGTTCACGGTGGGCCCCACCCACCGGCCCTGCACCAAGGGCCTGTGGGTGTGGTCGGCCCCCGTGCCCCGCACGGCAGCGGATGGCTCCCCATACCACCTCGTGCTGCTGGACACGGAGGGCATCGATGCCTACGACCAGGTGCGTGCTCGGGACAGGGCAGGTTCAGTATGGGTATGAGTGCACCTTGCCGAGCGAATGCGCCTGGCGAGCTGACGCCATGCTCGCCACTCATCCCAACCCTCACCCCCCCCCACCAACTATCACAGACGGGCCAGTACTCGACCCAGATCTTTAGCCTGGCAGTACTCCTGTCCAGTCTCTTCGTGTTCAACCAGATGGTGTGACGGCAGATGTGATTTGGTTTTGAGCTGGAGGGGTGCACTACAACTGTGCTGGGGCGCGCGACCCTGGCGACCTATTGCCCCACACTTGAGCAGTCGGCTCCATAAACCTTGCGCAGGGCGGCATCGACGAGGCGGCCCTGGACAGGCTGTCGCTGGTGACCGAGATGACTAAGCACATCCGCGTCCGCGCCGGTGGAGGTGGGCGGTGGTTGATGCGTGTGGGTGTGCAGCCTGCTCACGCTGCAGGCTATGTGGAGGGGTAGAGAATGTCGCCAAACTCTACATGCAGAGAATCCCAGCACTGATCTCCTCAGCCCTGCCATGCCTGGGCACACATTTCACCCTCGCTCCTGGGCCCAGTGTCCCTTAGCGACCCCCCCGCGAGAACACCTCCCCCATTTTAACCTGCAAGCTCAGGCGAGGACGCGAGCGAGCTGGCGGCCTTCACGCCTTCCTTCCTCTGGCTCCTCCGCGACTTCTACCTGACCCTGGAGGAGGACGGGCGGGTGGTGTCGCCGCGCGAGTACCTGGAGTCGGCGCTGGCGGCGGTCCCCGGCACCGGCCCCGGCGCGGCGGCCAAGAACGCTATCCGCGCCTCCATCAAGTCCCTCTTTCCCGACCGCGACTGCTTCACACTGGTGCGCCCCGTGAACGAGGAGCGCGAGCTGGTGTCCCTGGACGGCCTGCGCCCGGGTGACCTGCGCCCCGAATTCCGCGAGGGCCTGGCCCGCCTGTCGGCCCTGGTCTTCGCGCGCGCACGGCCCAAGCGCCTGGACAGCACTGTGGTCACCGGCCCGCTCCTGGCGGGGCTGGTGGAGGCGTACGTGGAGGCAATTAACGCGGGGGCGGTGCCCACCATCGCCACCGCCTGGCAAGGCGTGGCCGAAGCGGAGAGCCGCGGCGCGGCCGATGCTGCCGAGGCAGCCTACGACGCCGCCTGGGCCGGCGCGGCGCCGGGGCCGGAGCCGGCGGCGCTGGACGCCGCGCACGCGCGTGCGGTGGAGGCTGCGGCCGAGGCCTTTGCGGCGCGCGCGCTGGGGCCGGACGCCGTCAAGGCGGCCAACGAGCGGCGCTGGCGCGAGGCCGTGCAGGCCAGGTGGGGCTGTGGAGGGGGGGGAAATGAGGGGGTGGAAGAAGGATGGGGGGCGTGCCAGTCCGGGGCGCGTCGAGGGCCGAAGATCAAGGGCTGAAGGTTCAGGGCTCGAGCGGGGCAGGGACGCTTTGGAGTGTGGTACTCATGACTGCTCCTGCACGCGAAGCAAGCCAGGCGTCGGAATGTATTCGGGGGTCTGGCGAGCGGACCCGAATAAGGGACGTCCCACCTTGCGAGGTCGCTGGATGCCCCGTCATGTCAGGGTCGCGGCACCCAGATGCATCAACATCACTGATCCGCCCCACTCTGTCAGGTTTGCCAAGGCGAGGAAGGAGGCGCTGGCCAGCGCTGCGCTGGCGGTCGAGCAGTGCCTGGCGGCGGCCACCAAGCGCGTGCTGGAGGTGGCGGGGCGCCCCGACGCCGACCCCGGCGCGCTGGCCGCCGAGCTGGCGGCGGCCGAGGCGGCGCTGGCCGCGGCGCCGGGCG